TGCAACGTCTGAAATCCACCAAATCTGATACAGTAAGTTGATTGCCCAAGCAGGATTTCCTAAGTAATTCACCTAGAATACACCAGATGACTGCCAGGCACACGTAATTCATGGGTGTTGTGGCAGGTTTTCAAATAATTCATATTGACCCAACTATGAAAAGCTCGGCGCCTCGTAGAGATTCGAACCCACACAGTCAGTAACGCAAGCCTGGTATTCATCCGTTGGATTCTAAATGAATTACTTACGACATCCTGCTTGGCGGTCAACTTACTGTATAAGATTTGTTGGATTCCAGACGTTGCACTGGAGTAGGCGGGTAATTGCACCCAAACGTAATTAAACTCGCGCCGTCCGACTGGGCCTCGTAGCTTAAGTGGTTTAAGCGTTGGCTGTACTGAAACCTTCCCCATACTGCAGGGGTTCGACTACCACCGAGGCACCGAGTTTTTCACAGTTGGGTCAACATGAATTATTAGAAAATCTGCCAAAACATTCATTAATCAATATTTCTGGCTTTTTAGCCGTTGTCAGTTAGACAGACCCGGCCACGACGCGTTAAACACCTGGGGCTCGATCACGCGTCCTGCTGTTTAGAAATCTAACGCCTTAACTGGGCCATGGGCTCGTTATCCTGTCGGGTGTGATCGGAAATACACAGAGGTGGAGCGGCGCTCACCGATCTTTTCACGAAACAAAATCGTCCCGTCATGTTTTACGACGCTCTTTCGATTTCAATTACGATCTGTGAGCACCCTGCTACCATTTTATATGCCTGTTGCTCTATGATTCGAGGTAGTTGACTTCAAACTAACAAATCGATGGATCGAGCACGATGTGGTACATAGTCTATAATTGTGTTTATCTGGCTGAAATGGCTAACAAGCTATAGCTGGCCAATCCAGCTTCCGTTGCATCTGCAGGTAATCTTACTATGTGTGTATTAGGCGCCGCCGTGTGGCTGCTGGTCGGTCTGCATAGAGAGCGCCCAAAGGTCTGACGTGAAGGAGTGAGTTTCCTGCACGATCAGAGAGTGATCTTCAACAATTATATATGTAGTCGTTTTGCTGTTTGTTTTTTTGTTTTGTTCAGAAGTGATCAAAATCAACTACGCATCAAACTAAAGTCAAGTTCTTCGCATATACACCTAATTGTTAGTTATGATGAACCAGTGGTATTTTGCTAGCTAAACAGTTACACAGTTGGTCGTCACATCTGCCACCGCGGAATGAAAATGTAGAAATAAATTATCCGACCTAACAAAGCTTGCGTCATTTTTAGATGTTACGACAGGATGCCGATATATAGTTCAATCTTCTGTCGCAGTCCGAAAAAACGACCACTCCATGGGGCATGACTACTTAAGTAATATGTGATTTTCCTGCTGTCGATGCTCAATGACATCCGAACGGATGACATCGGCTACACCGGCATTCACTGATGGTAAAGGGGTAGCACCATATTGCATGATAATCTGTTGTTCACTATTCTAAAAAGTTTAATTATGAGATAGAATACGACCTTAATGTACTTTTTAGAAAAGGGCTAGCGTCTTCTTCTGATGTCTAAAAAGTTTATTTTATTGCTGACAATGGCCCGAACTTTGATCACAACAAACATGGTGTTGCACTAGTCGAAGTAAAATAGGACGTTTCAAAACATCTTCGAATTTACAGAAGCTGATTTTAGGGCAAAACATCTGTAAGATCCAGCACACCGTAAAGTGCTTTCTACGTCAGACAGAGGTAAAGCTGTTTAAACGCCCAAAGACATTAAACGAAGTGCTAATACATTTAAAAGATAATGTTTTCCGCTATTTTCCCGTTTTAAGCTGTCATACCAAACTCTTGGTAATTGGGCTGCTATAAAGACACTTTTAAAATTAAAGGTTACTGATATAACTTATTCTTTTCCAGCTTATTATGAATAATATAGTAAAACAGACCTGGGTGCCTGTCCATTACAAGACTTTATTTGACATTTGTCTTTATTTGTCATAAAAATGCATCTCGGACCTTGAGGGACCATTTAAAGCAGGCCAAGGGCGTGCTCTGTGCGAATTAGTACAGGATATGATCGTTGTTAGTAGTGTTTGCTATCGGCTAGCACGTGAATAAAACGGTGCCCAATCGCGCCGGCTGAAGTGAACCACCGCAGAAAATGTAGGTGAACTGAGTTGAACGTACTCGTACAAACTATGCTCCGCAGCGTTTACTTTTGTTTGTGCAAACTTTGCATGTCTAATTTATCCGTCATAGGTCTGGAATTTACACGATAACCATAAAAACGTGCGTTTATTATGCAAGATCAAATGGTGCAGTATTCCGTTGTCCTAGTTTTGTTGGGTTCTCTGTAGTCATTACATGCGAGGAAGCTGCATCTGAAATTCTGTAACAAAGTTGGCTGTCGTACGAGGGCCATGTTATGACTGTCCAAGGTGGAACGACTTATTCATTGCGTGATAGGAGGTACAACTCACATAGAATAGAATCGAATTCTATCTGGTGACATAGGCATATGTCCTGGCAATTTTCTTTACATCATGTGCTCCTCGCAAAAGCTGGTGGTTTCATCCAAATCCACGACAGCTGAAAATTTACCCCGCTGAATTTAAGTAAGTAGTATTTATGCGCCTGGCTTCCGGAGACGGATGACGAAAACTCTGCCCTGATAGGTGGAACTGGGTTTCTCGTTTTGCTATTTTACCAGTAATAAGTATGCATTTTTACTGATTGTCGTATAGTATTTGTTAATATACTTTTTGACAATGAAAGATAGTCCGAAGATCCTGAGCCATATATTTTCGAGCAGCGAGTACAGTAGCGATGAAATGCGCAAGTAAACAGAGTGCGTTGTGATAGATACGAAAAACTATTTTACGCTATTTGGTTCTTGCTGACAATCACAGACACCATGTGAAATATAAAAAATATATTTGATCTTTGTCAGCAATCCGGGAAGACGGGTTGCCCGTCAGCGTAGCTGCTGGCTACCCGGCGCCTCCACAGTTGGCAGATAGTGGGATGACCTTCAGTGAAGGTTAGCTGCGAAATAAGCAGACCCAGGTCTGACGAATAAGCAGTCGCAGACCAGCGGCGACATTGTTACCAGGGTGAGGTGGGATGAGGTCTGGCACGCTGAAAGCCTTATAAAACGCCGCAAAACCCAATGACGCATTGTAGCATGGTGACCGTAAACCGCCATTAAATAAGTTCACTTGCCACCGCTGCCTTTGGTTAGGCTTCTAAGCCAAAGCGCTAGAGGAGACAACCTCGAGCAAACAATCCGAGCTACTGTTGGGCACCCGCCAGTATTCGAAATTCATAAGAAACCTTATGAACTATGTCCGATCACGGTATTACGAACCATGCTCCGTCCGCAACCGTGGTCTAGTGGTGCAGGCGAATAGTATGCGAGCTGGCCTACTAAATCGGAGACGGTCTCCCGGTACCCAAAGTCTAACCGCACGCAGCCTTGATCAGTACAACGTGGATGTCTGCTGTCTGTCTGAAGTTCGATTCACTGACTCAGGCTCGCGAGAAATAAAGATCCCTGGAGTCGAATCACACCTTACCCTCTACCACAGCGGCCCGCGCGATTCTTCTGGTGTACATGATGTGGCGATCGCCCTATCGCAACAAGCGGACCTCGCGCTACTTGCTTGAGAACCAGTCAATGACTGGATGGCCTACGTGCGAATGAAGGGTCACTTTACGAACATCTCAATCGTCTCTGTGTGCGCACCAAATTCGGCTGCCGAGCAGTGCGTTAAAGAGACGTTTTACTCGCAGTTGCAAGCGTTGGTTGAAAGACTGCCTCTCTGCGACCTGTTGATTTTTGTTGGCGATTGGAATGGTTAACTGCACGTGGCGACCCCACAACCAATCGTCTTCTTGGCTGCTTTGCTCTTGGTTCCCGCTGTGAAAATGCTGAGAGATTGCTAAACTTCGCTGATCGAAATCGACTGCTTGTCACCAACACATGTTTCCAGCATCGCAAAAAAAACATATGCTGACCTGGCATTCAAACGACGGTCATACGACCAGTCCGATTAACTACATACTAGTCAGCTCAAGGTTCCGAAGCTGGGTTTACGACAGCAGACCGATGCGTGGTGCCGAGACTGGTAAAGCCCATGGGTCAGACTATGTCCTCGTCCGTACAAACTTGAAAGTTCGTCTCTCATCCGCGCCGAAACTGTCACGTCCTAGACTCCTCGATTTCGTGAAAATCCGGCAAGCCAGCACTGCTGAGGCCCTAAGCAGAGAAATCCGGACCTGTTTTACGACCCGAGCCGATGGAGAAGTTAGTAACCAGTGGTCATCACTGAAGACTTCAGTCCATGGTGCAGCTGAGAAAATCCTTGGATACACTCACTGATGCCGCAGTGACTGGATCAGCGGAAAAACCCTGCAGCCGTCTGCTCAGACGGCTTGAGCCAGGTCCCGCAACGATGGCTGTTTTCGCCGACTTCGGACGATGACGGCAAAATCGGCCTCGGGATGACCAGAAGCAATATTGGGCTGAAACAGTGACCTCCATGGATCAGGCCTCCAACGTTGACGACACTTGAAAGCTCTCCCGTCTGATCCGTCAAGTTAGCGGTAAGCCCTCTACATTTAGTGACTCTGTTCGCGACGTGAACGGCGGCTTTTTTGCTAACAACTCGGCCAAAGTCGAGTGCTGGCGTAAACACTTTGAACACCATCTCAACTTCGATACTCAACCTACGTCGCCCTTGCTCTCCTCTTCAGCGAAGATTCTTCCCTCTCCAACCTATGCAGTGCCATGCGACCCCCCTCCCCTAAAGGAGAAGTTGTCGATGCCATACGAAATTTGCGTAACAATAAGCCACACGGAGTTGACGGTATATCCGTTGAAATCTTCACGTCTTGTGTCGACACTGTGGCGCCTGGCTCCATGAGGTGATTGAACGAGCGTGGAGAGACGAGGTTGCGCCTGATGACTGGGGCTTAGGCATCCTTGTACCTATCCTCAAGATGGGAGATAAGACGAGATGCGAGAACTTCTGCGGCATAACTCTCATCGACGTTGCTTCGAAGATCTTCGCTGTTGTCGTACTCAGGCGATTCCAGACTGTGCATGACTCAAGGACGGGGCCCAACCAAGCCGGATTTCGTGCTGGACGTGGATGCGCAGATCAGATATTTACATTGAGGCGCATTCTAAAATTTCGCGATAGCCACCAACAACCGACGGTCGTCTGCTTCAATGAATTTGCCGCCGCGTTCGATTACGTTCATCATGAGTTCCTGTGGCGGATAATGGCTCTAGATGGTGTACCGGCAAAAATCATCGCCTTGATGAAGGCCTATTATCGCTTTACTTCTGCGAGAATCCTGGTCCGCAACATTCTTTCCCAACCCTTCGGTATTCGGTCAGGTGTTCGACGAGGTTCTATCATGTCACCCATTCTGTTCAACTATGCTATTGACTGGATCCTCGGAAGGACCCTACGCGAAAGTGACGGCGTTGAGTTTGCACCCGGACATCGACTAACTGATCTTGACTATGCCGAGGATATCGCCTTACTTACTTCAAGTTTTGGTGATCTGCAGTCTATGATGTCGCGGGTGAACGAGGTCGCTAAATCGGTCACTTTATCCATAAGCGTTGGGAAGACCCAAGTGTTTTCAAGCTGCATCTCTGACCAGGTGAATCCACGTATCGGGATTAATGGCTGTAAACTTAAAGAAGTAGACAGTTTTAAATACCCCGAGGCAAGGCAGCGGCCTAACGAACAGAGAAAGGATGACATTGTCTCTCGAATTGATGCTGGCCGCTGGGTTTTCTCAAGCCTACGGAAATGCCGATGGATCGGGCGTGACGTCTCCATCGCCACTAAAATTCGCGTGTACCGTGCATCTGTCCTGTCTGTCCTTATCTACGGTTGCGAGCGCTGGACTTTGTGCGCGGAGGAGGAACGCAAACTGGAGGTATTTTCCACCACAGCTTGAGGACCATCTTTTGAGTGGAGTTAATCGACTTCATCTCAAATGAGACAGTCCGTGCTAGCCGCGACAACATCTCAAGGATAATTCAGGCCATCCAAGAAAGAAGACTGAGGTGGTTTGGGCATGTTCTTCGTCGTCCACTTCAGGAGTTCAGTGCCGCTGCCTTCGATCCGGTACCGCTTCCCTTTTGGAGACGTCGAAGAGAGGGTCAGTTCAAAACCTGGATCGACACAATTCGTCAAGACATGGAGGTGGTCCTTGGACCTTCGGTATTCGGTCTACGTCGTTGGCGAATGCAACACAATCTACATCATTATTTACACATTCCATTGGGAAAAATCAAAGTGTGCTCTTCGGTGTAAACAGGAATTACAATTCTGCAAAATAATTTATTTTGTTGGAAACTGAAAAAAGCCGAGGAAGAAATAAAGTCTGCAGTGATGAAAAACATTTCTGTGGGCGATTTCACCGTCTAGGTCTGTTATATTGGCGGAAATGCGTGTGCCCAATTGGTGTACAAACTTGGTTTCAGTTTCCGATTTGCGTCGAATACACCCTTATATTGTATATGCCAAGACGGCTAATTTGGTCGAGTTAAGATAGCTTGAGGACAAAGTGAAATAGTTGCAAAGTATGGCACTTGCTCCAAATACCACATATCACATCGAGCAATTAAAAGGTTTATAAGGAATCTGTGAATGAAAGGCGTGGACAGTTTTATTCTGAGGGAATCATTATGAGGTAATTCAAGAGAGCAGAAAACGAAATTATCCAAAAACGTCATGCGAATAGAAGCCAAACACTAGTCTGTGCACATAACCGAAATGTGTTAACTTTAATATTGCCAAAAGAAGCGAACAGACGAGTCCCAGGAAGCAGTCTTGATTAAGAAGACGACACGATCGCCGGGACAAGAGCTTTATTAGCCTGACGTTTCGGATTCCTGCTCGAATCCATCATCAGAGACATAAGCAGATAAGGGTAGTTCATGCACATGCGACTGCAGTATTTATAGGATGCCGTAGCCATGCTTCCGCATACCTATGAATATTCACGGCTCTCTCCCCTTCATCAGGGCTCGTTGCACGTGGCGTGATGGTCGATATTCGCGTCGGTAATTGCAGCAATTTCATCACGTGCGTTGGATGTTGGATGATGCTCGACGATCGGACGCGCTGACCCGGGTGTTGGGAAGAGTGTTCACCAGTGCGCTCCCCGCGTGGCCAATTACTCCGCCTAGACGAAGTCTCAGCACACTGTATTGAATGGGAAGATCATCGCACTTGTTGATAGACTGGGGGCCAGTAAACCATGACTCAAACAGCTTCCGGCTCACGCGGTTGTTACCTCAAGCGAGAATTTCGGCCTCGTGAAATTTGAATATGTGGCCGGAACCCATCGAATGAGTCGCAACTTGTGAGCTGGTGTCATTTCTCCGCACTGCTGTAGCGTGTTCGGCCATTCGCGTTCGGAGCTGTCTTCCGGTTTCTCCGACGTAGTTGCTTTGTCCGCAACTGCACCAGATCCGATAAACGACTCCAGACGTTTCTTGCCGTGGCAGTGGGTCTTTTGGTTTCATCAACTGATGCCTGATAGCTGACTCCGGTCTGTGTGCAACTCCAACCCCAAAGTGGTGCGAAAAGGCGGCCGACAGCTTCCGAAACGTTCTTGACATATGGAAGCGCTCGCCAAACTTTGGTATCCGTACGGTTAGGCCTTTCATCCATTTGGCGTGTGCATCGGTTGACAAAGTTGCGCGGGTAGCCATTGACTTTGAAGACCCGTCGGAGGTATTGTAGTTTAGCAATCTTGTCTTCCGCTTCACTGAAGTGCGTGTCGACACGCCGATAGAGCGTCCTTACACAACTGCGTTTGTGACTGATTGGGTGGTTGCTGTTGAAGTTCAGTACTTGCATCGTATTTGTCGCTTTCCTGAACACTTTGGTCTTTAGTCCACCACAATCCTGGCGGCATACGAGGAACTCCAGGAAGGCCAGCTGTTTATTCTCTTCCTCCTCCATCGTAAATTGTATGTCCGGGATGACCGCATTCAGACGTTCCTTGAATGTCAGCAGTTGATCCCGATCGATAAAGACGAAGGTATCAGCCACATGCCGGGCCCACAACTACGGTATTCCAACACCACAAATCGATGTTCTGGGCCCGGTATGTGGATGATACCTTCGTCTTTATCGATCGGGATCAACTGCTGACATTCAAGGAACGTCTGAATGCGGTCTTCCCGGACATGAACCACCCTTATCTGCTTATGTCGCTGATGATGGATTCGAGCAGGAATCCGAAACGTCAGGCTAATAAAGCTCTTGTCCCGGCGATCGTGTCTTCTTCTTCAATAACTTTAATATGTCAACGTTCAAATTGTCCAGCATATGCGTATTTAACTGTAATATTAGTGAATACAAGACGGGTATTTTTTCACAAGTAGCTGCGTATGTGTCGTATTAATGAATGCACACAAATGCGAATTCCAGATGGCTTGAAAAATCTGTGGATTTATAACGCTCAATCAGTGGATGGTAAGTGCAGGAAAAACAGAAGCCAATGTAATTATCGGTTTCCAGATAACCCGCAAATATTTTAGATTATTAATGTAACTCACAATCTTTAGAATACACCCTTACAAAATGTTATATAAAATGTTTGACCATCGTGTGGGAAAACAATTGAAAATCCATTGATGTGGATTGTACTCTTTCACACAAATATTGTAATCTTGGACATTTTATATAGATATAAGCCATCGTTTGCTGTTAACTACGATCAAGAATTGACTGCATGTGCAAAATAACAAGCGTTGTTTAATTCAAAATTAATGCAGTTATAACGGTATAAGAAATTTTTTTAATCGAGCATAATATTAAACAGTCCGCAGGGTCCGGCAACTTTGACAGCTTTGGGACAAGTGTAGACATATGGCGCACAAGAAAAATGTATTACCTTAAATGGAAGTGATTTGATTAATCTGTGCAAAAGTGGAATAATTGAGAAAATATATTGCTCGTCTGAATGAAGCAACGACTGGTCTACTTTTATTAACCGTTTATTTAATAAAATAAAGGCAAGCGTGAGTTTTATGTAAAGAAATTTCAATTTCAAAGATCATGCAACATTTAATTTTAATAAGAGACTATCCCTATAAGGCTGACGCCTAATGTCAATATCAGCTGCAGTCGGCATTTGCGAAAGCGGATATTTCGATAGAAATGCTAAAGCTTAATTTCCCCCAGAATGACCATGCTCTAAATGATACTTGATATAGAAAAACTTTCAGTGTTCACTACCAGATAAACTATTTATAGCTGGCACGTATTCACTGCAGTGATGCATTTTTCGCAGCGCATAGCAAGGCCAACTTATTACTCTTTTACGTTTAGCAAATCATCTCAGGCAGCACATGAAACTCGGTTCGAATAACAAACCTGTTCTGTAATTCATAAGTAGGCCTACTTAGTTAAAGAGAAAAGTAAAAATTAAGTAGCAGACAGGGTTTCTGACTATCTCAGGGCCATCTAAGACGCATTGTTCCAAATCCAATGCATGTCAAGGTCGGCGCTTTTTGCTTATTGTGTCAGATGGAGAGTGACGTCGACTAGGAGTAATGCATGTAAGTCGAGTTCCTAGAGTGCACGTCACCATCAAAAGGAGTTTGATGTAGTCACCATCTAGGATCGGTGATGACTATGTCAGAAAACATGCCAATGTCTACTGACAAAATAGCGCTGTAGGTAGTAGCTGCTGAGGGTGACCTTTACATAAGTCAGCCAGGGTCCTGTGGATAACTTGAAAGGCTAATTTGGCATCAATATCTTTTTTTGATTTTCAATAACTGTCCGAGAGAAAATTCGAAATTGGACCGTTAATGCATTTTTATTCATGCCGATGTGTTTCCGCACTCTCATTTTTAAGCGTCTTGGTGTAGATTAGAAGTGTAACCGGCCATTTTTTACAAGCGTAGAAAGAAATTGTGTTATCAGACATCCTTTCGCCCCTATGATGCATGACGCGCGCAATCAATGCGACTCTTGCCGACGCAAGTTTAGGTGTCTAAAACAGCAAGCTCTGAAGGAAACCTCAATGTTTGTCAGAGTTGTTTTTATGCGTTTTCGCGACAGAGAATTGTGATTCGATAATTGAATTAAATATTGGAAATATGCCCACTCAGACGGTAGATTTATTAGCCTTAGCTTTCGAACTCGAACTGGAATTCATCATCAGAGACTGGTTGAGTGCAACAACGTGTGAACATTTATATCGTTGCGTCGTGTGGGGGGATTACGTCCGTGGCTAGGTCTGATTTGTGCCGCCTGGTCCACAATGGTCCCCCAGCGTGGTGACACCGTTTGTACTTCGCGGCGATGTAAGTTGCGCCACCTGGCTACGTGGGCGGAGTGCGTGATAACACGCAGGTAAATCAGCACCGGGTCCTCACCTGTCATAGCCAAGACCCACTGGTGCATAAACGGAGCTGTGTTAGGGCGCATCTCAGGGACCAATAAACAAATAATGACTACCCAAATAGTTTCATCAGCCGCTGCATGCGCACACGCCCTCTACGGACAAACGGAAGAGAGACACCAACAATTTGACACTCCTACCGTACATGAAGAATGTTTCCGAAGCTACAGAACGCATTGCGTTAGAGTTAGCCGTGGGTGTCGATCACCATCCTTCAGCTACCATGCGTAGCAAGATCATGAACATGCAGGATCGGCTGGACGTAAGTGAGTAGTCAGGCGCAGTCTACCAACTCCCGTGCCATAGCTATCCTTGCCAACGCACAGGTCATAAAGGACGGCGTCTCAGATCACGAATACTTGAGAACAAACGGGCCGTTCGAAGAGCTGACCCACTATCTCAAGTCACTACTCACACGCTGGAGGAAGTCAATGAGTTTGATTTCGCCAACACGCGGATACTGGCGCGAGCGGGCAACAAGACGGGGCGAGAACTGCCGGAGGCGTTGGTGTCGGGCACCAAATCTA